CTGAGGGGGAAACCTTCCCTTCCCCCCGCCGCCCCGGCTGCTCTCCGTGCAGAGCTGCCCCCAGCAGCTGCTCCAGGGCCCTTTGTTTCAGTCGCTTCATTGGTACGGATTTCCCCCTCTCCTCCGCTGTCACTCGCACTTCCCTGCGACCGGTACCCAACCGTGTGCCGATGCCCCTGGTCCTTCTCGACGCAGGCTTTGTTTCTTTTTTTTTTGATATGAAACAACTTGAAAGCAAATCGCTGGAGTGAAGCCGCCCCGCTGAAGTCCGAGCTGTGAGGATCTGGTTGCTTTGTTATCGTTTGATTTCCCTGATAAACTATCGGCTAAGATACACGGTTCAAATATATATGTATATATATATACAGTTTAAAGTACTGTATTTTAGCAGTGGGTTTGCCCCTTATTTCGGTCTCCTGAGGGGGCTGAGGAAAACGCACCTCCTTCTCTTACACGGTCGGTTCGCGTAATCGATTAATACTTCGCTCTGGCAATGAAAAAAGAAGGAAAGAATAATAATCAGATGGGGACAGACTGGGGACCTGTAGGGCTTGTTGTGCAAGCTAACCTGTAATGCGATATTATATGAAGTATTATGCATGCCAAGCTTTTTTTTTCGTTAATAACTGTGAAAACGCACCTCCTTCTCTTACACGGTCGGTTCGCGTAATCGATTAATACTTCGCTCTGGCAATGAAAAAAGAAGGAAAGAATAATAATCAGATGGGGACAGACTGGGGACCTGTAGGGCTTGTTGTGCAAGCTAACCTGTAATGCGATATTATATGAAGTATTATGCATGCCAAGCTTTTTTTTTCGTTAATAACTGTTTTGTTTCCCCTTCTCTTTCCACTGCTAAAATGAATACGGGGTCCATCATTGTTGCTGAAGGGTTGGATTTCTTTTTCCGAATATTAAGGGGGAAATGACCTTGTAAAACTCAGCCTTGGTGGAAGGTCAAGCTTTGACGTACGTTTTGGGGCATAACCTGATGTAATGGAACCGACCGGCTCGGAGGGCTCCGTGTCCCCGCAGGCAAAGCCGGGCCCCGGACCTGCTCTGTGTGTGCGTGGGGACTTGTTCCCAGCGAAGGAAGAGCGATCGAATTTTTACTGTTTCCTACGCTTTGCATTACATTTGGAGCAATCTCAAGGTTTCTTGTTCTGAAATCGAGCGGCGAGATGCGGCGAAGCTTCAGTTTTGGTACGAAATCTGAGAAGAAGTGTCGTCGGCGGATTATAACCTCTCCACCGTTTTTTTCTTTTCTTTTTTTTTTTTAATTGTTTTTTGTTTGTTTGTTTTGTTTTGTTTTGTTTTTTTCCCCTGCTTTGGCCTGAAACACGGCTCTGGGCATCAGCCTGCATGGTTGAAGTCAGAACGCTGAAAGCTTCGAAAGCACTAGAGAAAGAAATAAATATATATATATATTCCGGGTTCCTGAGAAAAGTACTAACTAGCTGACACGCTCGTTTCGACTTCAGCCCCGTTTCTGCTGGCTGTGGGGTTTTTTTGTTTTGTTTTGGTGTGGTTTTTTTCCCCCCAACTGCTCTGAAATCCCTCGTCTCACGCCGGCAGATCTTCGCCAGCTGTTTTCCTTTGCATATCCGTCAAACACCCGAGTTTGGGGCGAAAACTTCTACAGCCTGGTCCCCGAGCAGCGTGAGCAGGACTCGGGGAGCGGCGGGGCTGGGGTGCCGGCCCCCGGACGGGACCCGACGGCCGCGAAGCGAGCGGTGCGGGTGGACTTCAGCCTCTTCGTGCCCAGAGGAGATGACCTGGGGACGCGTTTCTTCCTCGGGGCGCGAATACTGGGTTTGGTGCCGTTCAAAGTCTGGCTACTCCTGGAAGAAAGCGGCCAGACCTTTTCCCTCGTCATAGCCAGCTCCCCAGGTCTCCCAGTGGTACCTACTGGAGTAAAATCCTGACTCACTACGGTCATATCAGACTAGATTGTAACCCAACGCGAAATTTAACACGCCTGCCACTCTCCACATGCCTTTTCTTTGGAGTAACGTGTGAGATTATTACACTTCTGATTTTGCTAAATATTCTTTTCTTGAAGTTAAGGATCTGGCAGGGCTAAATGGTCAATCAGATTTTTAAAATGTGTTTTGACATTAAGTTGTTTGTTTTTTAAAGAAGTGCTGATTATATCAATAAACAGATTTTTTTTTCATACACTGTATTTGTAACTTATGGTCATGTTAAAGTATTAAAAAGGTGCAAGACGTGAATTCATCTAAGACAAAGTGCTTACTTATGCCTTACTCTGTACATGCAGAAAGCGCTTTAGAGTGGCTCATTAAATGTATGTGTTGAAAGTAGGAACATATATAGACCTCAGGTTTCTTTACCTCGTAGATTTTTTAATGACGCTCTTTTATTGCACCTGATGGCAAGAAACTTCTGCATGATGCAGAGAAACAGCTAGCAGAAGACTTAGTCCCTGGTGAACGTGCCCTGACGATTTCAAAGCAGGAAAAAAAACCCAATCCAAACTAAAACAAACCCAAGCCCACCTCTCAAATCAGGACAGCAGATTCCTCTCAGTTTTATCCCCTGTGTGTATTTTTTATTAAACACGTCAAGAGTCACGCTTTGTGCTGCTTCTGCTATAAGAAAAAATGTTGGCAGACAGTAAAGCTCAGAGTACTTTCGCAAAGGCTGTTTGCGACATATAGAGACATACGTTGCTGCTTTATAGATCAAAGCAACCTCAGAATAGCTTTAAAATAAATCCAGTTATAGTACAGCTGTAGTATTATTATGAGGCATAAATCCTTGTCTGTTGACATTTATTTAATGAATGTTGCTACAACAGCTTAGCTAGATGGCACTCCAGAGGCGAGGCGAAGGAAAACCTTGCCAGATTACACACACAGATAACTTGTGTTTATTGGACTCTAATAAAAATAATTAGTGAAAAGATTTTTTTTTTTTTTTAGCAAACCAAATGAAAATCAAAATACTATCTGAACTGACCTTCTGAAATAAATTCCTGAGGTAGCTGCCGTAAGATGTTATTATTAATCACACTTTAAATGAAAATGATCGATACGCTGAAAAGCACCTTGTTAAATGGCTACTTTGCAAATGGTACATTGCTCACCGGCTTAAGATGGCCTACAACTTTTCTCGTAGGCATGGGTCTAAAATATTCATGCAAATCAATACTTGATAAATCTCATAGGTGCGCGCTGGCTCCACTGTTGAACAATGAATTTGGATCGATTTTTTTTTCCTTCTTCTTCTTCTACAATGCATTATCTCGGGCACGTCTGTCTCTGCCCCCCGTGAACAGGTCAGCCCTCACCACCGACCGACGGGAGGCTCGCTCCAGCCCCGCAGTATTTACCGCTCTCAGTCTTAAATTAGGTCCAGGAGTTTTCCTGACATTTGCCGTCCCATTCCCGACAAATATAACTTTACGGAGGATTTCTTTATGCTTCATTTAACTATCCTGAGTTTCTCAGCTCTACTTACGGATCCTACTTCTTGATTTCTATGTAGTGAAATACATGAACGTTCATTAAAAAAGATATTAATGAAAATCTAGATGTGCGCCTAAAATTTAAAGCCCTTTTCTTTTCTTCTTTTCTTTTCTTTTCTTTTCTTTTCTTTTCTTTTCTTTTCTTTTCTTTTCTTTTCTTTTCTTTTCTTTTCTTTTCTTTTCTTTTCTTTTCTTTTCTTTTCTTTTCTTTTCTTTTCTTTTCTTTTCTTTTCTTTTCTTTTCTCT